TTCTGGGAATTGTAGCCTTTGGGGTGAACTCCAGTTCCCAGGATTCTTTTGGCGAAGTCATCTGCTTTAAATGTGCGGCGTGTACACAGCTGGATGGGTGGGGGGGCAGGAAACAGGGAGCTTAGCTCCCTTATCTTTCAGCTACAATTTTCACAGTACTATGGGGGGGGGAGAGAGCATGACTGGTTGGACTGTATTTATGAATTGCACTTCTTTTAGAAAGTTAGATTATGACATTACTCATGAAATTAGCAATGAGATGCATTCAGGGGGATGGGACAGGCAAGCAAATAGCAGCTATGGCGATTCAATCCATCCCCTCTTCGTGTCACAGTTTGCATCAGGGATAGAAATCATTGCCCTGAAATAAATAAATGCAAGAAGATTCTTTTCTCTCAAAAGTATTACTACTATTTAAAAGTAAAGGGACCCCTGACCTTTAGGTCCAGTTGTGGCCGACTCTGGGGTTGCGGTGCTCATCTCGCTTTATTGGCCGAGGGAGCCGGCGTACAGCTTCTGGGTCATGTGGCCAGCATGACTAAGCCACTTCTGGTGAACCAGAGCAGCACACGGAAACGCCGTTTACCTTCCCGCTGGAGCGGTACCTATTTATCTACTTGCACTTTGATGTACTTTCGAACTGCTAGGTTGGCAGGAGCAGGGACAGAACAACGGGAGCTCACCCCGTCGCGGGGATTCGAACCGCCAACCCTCTGATCGGCAAGTCCTAGGCTCTGTGGTTTAACCCACAGCGCCACCCGCCTCCCTCAATTACTACTATTTATTGTAGAGCAATTATAAATATGCCACTTATCTGCTTTGATATGTCCCCAGTAAAAACGTTTTTAATAATAATAATAAGACTGTGACTTAGATCAGGTATATAGAAAAGATAGCAAGAATGATTTGGCTATAATTGAGGGAAGGAGTCAGTTTGTGTGTGGAGATGTTGTTGTAGATTTCCATTAAGGACACCCTACACCCCCCACAACCAGTCGTTATACAAGCACCACTGGGCCTGATGATCACACACACACACACAAACACCCCTGATGCACGACTCTAAAAGCTGGAAGTGAAGCTTAGAAAGGCAAGATGTGAAAAGGGAGAATTTGTAGGGTTGGGAGATGATGGCTGCTGGCTTGTCAGTTACCGGGACAGGCGGAGGCGGGGGGGGGGCGAGTCAGGAGAGAGAGTGTGCCTCGACTGATTCCTGACCTCTCTCTCCTCTTCACCCTTTATTAGGGAACCACCAAGCCTCTGTAGGCAGCAATTAGCAGAGCCTCCCACCCAGTTTTCCCAGACTATAATCAGGCCCTTTGCTTCCAAGGGCAAAAGAGCAATTGTCACGAAGTCTGACTGCAACACAGTCTGCTCCCAAAGGCAGTAGCAGGAGGGAAAGCAGGCGGGAAATTGCCTTTCCAACAAGGAGCCATACATCCTGTTACCCTATGCCTTGTGGGAGGAGGGAGGGAGAGGGGGAGAGAGTGCTTTTGCCAGCAGCCCTACAGGCCAGACTACGAAAAGTAAATTTAAACTGGCAATGCTGTGTGCCAAGACAGTCTAGACGGAGAAGGCACAATCCAGGACTCCCACAATGTTTAATGGGCCAGTCTCTATCTGACCTACCTTACAGGGTTGCTGGGAGCATAATTTTTGGGGTGGAGAGGGAGACCACACTCCATGTATGCCTTCCACAGTTTCTTGGGGGGAGATTTGGGATAAACCAGTAAATTTCAGAAAATAAAACATTACTTATTGATCCCTATGCATCAGATGAAGAGAAACCCCCTGCCAGCATGCCTACAGGCTGAGTCCGCTGAGAACCATGCCTATTCCTTACTCCTCAAATGGAAATCCTTTGCCTTCAAAGATATGGCAGATGGGTAAAGACAAGTGGGAAAGGTCTTCTGAAGATGCTCAAGGAAGCATCAGTCATTACTTTATCTGTCTCCAGAGCTCAGTCGTAATAATTCAGGAGAGGCCCCCCAACTAATCCTAGTCCAAGATTAAGCCTATCTGAACGCCGGCTGAACGCATGATCTAGTCCTCAAAGGATTATTACATATTTATTTCATGAACCCCTGAGCATTAAGGAAGGTAGGTTACAAGGGGCAGGCAAGTGAAAGAGACTAAAGTGCCAGCTGCAAAGTTTTGGGTACCCAAGATTTTTCATGGAGAATATATTTGAAGCCAGTCTGGGAACTTTCGTGGTTTTGGTTGAAGTGTGGATAAGAAATGATTGAAATAAAATTTAAAACAGGGGGCTTCGAGCAGTGATCCTAATCACCTTGCAAGCAAACTGTCTCAGGGGTTTGTAGCACTTTATTCACATAGTTTCTTGAGTTTATTGCCACTTTCTGCTCCATGTGCACACAAGCGGCAAGGGCGCACCCTTCTGCTGCGCACCGTTCCTCTGTCCTGCCACTCCCTAATTTTACAATCACAGCACCAAAACACACTTTACTCCCCATTCCCCCACAAGAACACATTAAAAAGAAAAGGCATTCCCTTCTTACTTCAAGATTGTGTCCCTTTGCACCATTAAGAGGCAGAAATCCATCAGGTGGCACCTTGCCAATCACTTCACCTTCAATGCATTGGGAGAAAAACTCATCCGGTTCAATTTCAGCCTGCTATGGTGTTTGTAATAGCTTAGACCTGCTTCACCCCCCAAAAAAGCCCTCACTTAAGAAACTTGGGGGGGTGTCAGTGTGTCACATTAAGTGACACCTTTCTCCCTTCCTGTTCAGGTTCCCTCTTCAAAAACCACCTTTTTCAGAACAATTATCCCCATAATCCTCATTCCCAAAGTGCAAAGTATGTGTGATGACATTCCTGCCTGGGGGGAAGGGGAGACATAGTTGGCACTAGATCTTAAGTTGGAGCTCTTAGGTCACTCAGTCTGAACTAAATTTCAGGGCTGCCATGAGGTTGATAAACGTGTGCAGTCGCATAGCACTCCTTGGAGGAAAGAATAGGATATCATCATCATCACCACCATCCTTTTAAAGGTAAAGGGACCCCTGACCATTAGGTCCAGTCGTGACCGACTCTGGGGTTGCGGCGCTCATCTCGCTTTACTGGCCGAGGGAGCCGGCGTACAGCTTCCAGGTCATGTGGCCAGCATGACTAAGCCGCTTCTGGCAAAACCAGAGCAGCACACGAAAACGCCGTTTACCTTCGCGCCTGAGCGGTACCTATTTATCTACTTGCACTTGACGTGCTTTCGAACTGCTAGGTTGGCAGGAGCTGGGACCGAGCAACGGGAGCTCACCCTGTCGCGGGGATTCGAACTGCCGACCTTCTGATCAGCAAGCCCTAGGCTCTGTGGTTTAACCCATAGCGCCACCCGCGTCCCATCTACTCCCATCCAAATTTAATATTCATACTTTTCCCCACTATCTGTAGGCTCCATGGGACAGAGACCTATTTGGTTTTATTAAAAATCTCTTTATAAATACTTGTAACATCACTGTATAAATATTCTCAAGTGAAGAAGTAAGTTGGTCTTTAGGAATTGAGTGCCAGCTTCTTCCTCCACTGAGGAAAGGAAGGACAATTCACCCTCTATAGCTTCTTCGGCAACACCCCCCCCCATCCTCCTTAAACTCTCCCCTTCATCAGATTAGGTAAACCAAACAAGCCTTTGCACAGACTTGCTTCTTAAAAAGAGGCGGTACCTCCTCTCACCCCGCTCCAAAGGCAGAGCGGGGAAGGGAGACGGAGAGATTGAAGCAAAGGACTTGCAACGTGGAGAAGGGGAAAAAAGAAATGGGGTGTGTGTGTTGGGAGGGGGGGGATCAGACTCCGATAGTACGGAGCCTGGAAAAAAAAATTCAGCCAGGAGTTTCCCCACTTCTTACGTCCCTCAGATTTCTAACACACACACAGACACACACACACTCCAAAAACATCTCTCGTAATGTCACCTTATATCGAACCAGAATAGCGTGCAATATTCAGTATACTAGTACAATCATTTGCATAGGTAGGTAGCCCCTCCCCCTGCAAAAAGACATTTAAAATAATACCAAGATCAACTGGTTCCCCACAACCCCTCCCCCGCCGAAAACTTTTTTTTCAGCTAGACGGTTAACACCTCCCCCTAAAAAAATCTCAAGTGGAATTCACATTATATCATACTTTGCAGTAGGCAGAATGATGTGAAATACTCAGTTAACCTAGCTTACTATTATTTCCATGGGGAGGCAGTCTCCCCAGCACAAAAAACAAAATCAGACCCCACCACGCCTAAAAATACATGGGCGGGGGGGGGACGACTCGAAGTTGTATCCAACCAAGTTCTCCACGGAATAGACATAGTGAAATAAATGAACCCAAGTTAGCCATGCCCACCAATTTCAAGGAGGTCTACTCCGAGTAAGGGGAGCATCAGTGACAACCCTCAAACTGTGTTGCGTCTAAGGTTAGTCGCGGTCAGAACAGACCCGCTGAAATAAAGAAAACGACTAATTCAGGCACATTCACTTCAACGGGGTCTACTCTGAGCAGGGGTGCCTGCCAACTTGAATAAAATGCAGGGGGGCAGGTAAGCTCAACCCCGCATAATCGATCACATGATGCGGTGCACACACACACACACAATTTGAATAGCAATGCCCATCAACTTTAGGGGGGACTCATATATTTTACTGGGGAAGTCAAAGACCCCCTCGGCCCCTAGGAGTTGGCTCCTATGACTCGGAGGAGAACTCGGCTGGAGCTGATCCTTCGTTTGGGGGGTTTTATTCCCCCTCCCCATCGCCAAGCTACACGGCGGATGTATCCAACGCTAGCCTTACTCTGAGTGAATCCAGTGAAAAACGAGAGGCACGGTTCCCTTAGTCGTGCCAATATGTCTACTCGGAGGAGGGCTAGCATTGGATGCGACAAGAAAGTAATAATAATAATAATAATCTATTCAGACTTCCTGGGGTTGTTGTTTTGCAGCCGACAACATGCTCGGCCGGCCAGCGCCGAGAACCAAGACGCCTCACCTGCGATGAACTGCCGCCTGCTGTCGTCCAGGTGTGCCGAGATCACGTCCCCCATGGCGGAGAAGGAGAGATCGAGACGCAAGGAGAGGACGAAGAGGATAAGGAAGAAGCAGCGGCTGGAGAAAAGCCAAGCCCCGGCTAAAGGCGACGAGGAGAGGAAAACGAAGACGTGCCCCGCCAGGAAACCCACTCCATGAGCAAGCGAGGAATAGGCGGACGCGGTTTGGTCCCAGCTGGCCTTGCCTCGCGCCCAACTCGCCTACAACTCCCAGGCTCTCCCTCCTTCCCCGGGACACGCCTTTTGCCTTCAACACCGCCCCCTTTCTTCTCCGCCTCTTGCTTATTATTTCTTGCGCTCCTTGCAGACAGGCAGGCGGCGAGGGAAGAAAGAATTGTACGTGCGTGCGTGTAAGAGGTGTGGTTGTCTTGATTTCTCTTTTTTTGTTTACTAAAAATAAATAAAATTTAAAAGCTGTTTCCGGTGTGCCACTCCTATTATTATCATTATTTAACTTTTATTAAAAAACTTTCTGCACTGTGCCACAGCCACTATTTAATTCCGCCACTATTCGTAAACAGCAGTGTGGCCATCGGACGAACGGCACTGTGCAAATTTATTAAACTAAATAGTATTCTTATTTAAATTGTATTTTGAACCGATTTCCGCTGTGCCACTATCACTACAGTAAGAACTGCAACTTACATGGGGTTACGGTCTGGGGATCGTGCCCAAAGCCAAAATTGCATACAGTACAGTCAAAGCACATCGGGCGCAATGGCGAGTGGGATTGCGAAAGAGCCCCCCCCCCCAGACGTCAGACCCCATTCTGCCCTCCCGTTTTAATTTTTAACAACTTTTTTTGCCAAGCACATAAAGCTGAATGTGCACAAGTTAAATGTGTGTTGGCTGCAGTCTTACTGTATCAGCAATTAAAATTGATTTTAAAACTACCTGCACTCTGCCACTATTTAGTATTATTAATACTGTATTTAATTTTTAGTTATATAATTAGTTCAACTCACTGCATGATCCTTTTAGAGGTTGCTTAAGACTGGAGAGCTGTTGCCAGTCAGTGTTGGCAGTATTGAGCTGGATAGATCAAAGTTATGGCCAGTAAGACAAACTTACTATGTTCCCTATAAGGAAAGGTTATTGTGTTTGGGGCTTTTTAGTTTAGAGAAAAAGGAGAATAAGATGGGGCATGATAGGGTTGTATAATAAAATTATGCACAGTGCAGAGAAAGTTGATAGGGAGACCTCTTTCTGCTGTGTAACACTAGAACTTGTGGACATCCAGTGAAACAACATTGGGAGATTGAGGACCGATGAAAGAAAGCATTTCTTTACACAGTGGGAACTCACTTCCACAAGAGGCCGCCATGGCCATCGACTTGAACAGCTTTAAAAGAGCATGTTCACTCAGAAGAAAGTCTCTTTGAGGGCAGTAGCATTTACTTCCAGGGTGGTGCTGTGGGTTAAACCACAGAGCCTAGGACTTGCTGATCAGAAGGTTGGCGGTTCGAATCCCTGCGACGGGGTGAGCTCCCGTTGCTCAGTCCCTGCTCCTGCCAACCTAGCAGTTCGAAAGCATGTCAAGTGCAAGTAGATAAATAGGTACCGCTCCAGCGGAAAGGTAAACGGCGTTTCCATGCACTGCTCTGGTTCTCCAGAAGCGGCTTAGTCATGCTGGCCACATGACCCGGAAGTTGTACGTCGGCTCCCTCGGCCAATAAAGTGAGATGAGCGCGGCAACCCCAGAGTCGGCCACGACTGGACCTAATGGTCAGGGGTCCCTTTACCTTTACGCTTCCCCACCTGATCCTAGGCATGTCTACTTGCAAGTATGTCCTCCTGAGATTGATGGGACTCCCAAGTAAGCACGCATAGGATTGTTGCTTAACAGAAGCACATCCTACTTAGCTGAATGTGACTCACTCTGGAAAGCATGCCTGGAGTTGCAGCCTCAAGGCTGTAGCCAATGTTAGCCCTACTCAGAGTAGACCCAATGAAATTGGTGGGTCTGTTGATTTCAGTAGAACTTAGGTGGATACCACAAGTGGTTTTTCTACAGCAAACATCCGGATATGTAACCCGGCAAAAGATTGGGTTGGGGTGGGTTGCGATCCTGCATACATTTCCTTGGAAGTGAGTCCCATTGGATTCCATGGGACATAACATCTAAACAGCCACTTGCATAATAGGCCTTTTTGGGTAAAATCCCATTCTCATTTGCCTAGTAGGAAGTGAGCACAAGAGGGCCTTGCTTCCAAGTAAACATACAGAGGGCCTGGCTGCCACAGAATTAAGATTAGTCTTGTTTGACAATGTGCTGGCTTATACCACAATAAATCTGTCAGTCTTTAAGATGCCACAGCCTCTCTGTTGGGTTTACAGCAATCTGGACATGTCAATAAAAAAATTAAAAGGAGCTATATCAACATGTGGCATGTGATCTGCAATGTGACAGTTTCAGTTTCCTTCCTTCCTTCTCATTAATGCAGGCTTCACTTTAGTTCTCTAGATTTCCACATTAGTTTGTGATTTTTAAAAGTTTTTTTTTAAAAAAGTCCTGCAAATTCATCAATATTTTAAGATGATTTTTTTCCCCGAATACACACATTTTTGTATGCAATTCTGCCCAATATTTTTTGCAAAGCAATTTCCCCTTATATGATACATTTTTGTATGTCCTTTTCACCAATACAGTACATGCACTTCTATGTAGGCTTCACACAAATTTGGGAGGGGGGGGAGAGCGGGTTGTACACATTGCTTGACTGGAGAACAGCATTACAGAAATTCAGAAAAGTTCAACTGCTGAAGCATATTCATCATTTGATCTGCATATTGTATTGGAAAGCGTGAACTGTGGAAGGTTGCCTTTCATTATACACTGAATCAGATGCAGAAGTGGATCTACTATGAAACTAATGAAGTTTACTGGTAAGCCTCAGGGCCCCTAATCCCGGAGGAGCCCCAGAACCACATTGCTTAAATGTTTTAGGTTTAGTAGACCCAATTTGAGTTGCACGACTCAAATTCTTTGATTTTGTTGTTGTATATATTTCAATCATCCCAAAGTTTGAGAGTCAGTATCACAGATGTTGTAAAAGGTTGTTGCAAACAAACCTGTTGAAGAAGATAACAGTGGCTCCCCAGCCCTTGTTGCTGATTGTAAAGGGGCTCCCATAACAGTTCAAGCTCCAGGGCCCCCAAAATAATAATAATAATAATAATAATAATAATAATAATAATAATAATAATAATAATAATAATATCTTTATTGTCATTACCCCCTCTCGGGGACAACGAAATTACTTGACTGCTCCATAAAAATACTAATTAAAACAATACAATATAGTACAGCAAGGAAGATTAGATGACTTTCAAAGTCCAGGCTTCCCATTCAGGGCCGAGATCGCTCTGGAGAAGAAGCTGTTCTTAAGACGGCTCGTTCTTGTCTTCATCGTCCTGTATCTCCGTCCCGACGGCAGGAGCTTGAAGAGACAGTGACCAGGATGCGATGGATCTTTTACTATGTCCAGTGCCTTCCTATGGCACCTTGTGGCATAAATCTGCTCTAAGGTGGAGAGTGGGCAGCCAACAATGCTCTCTGCTGCCTTAACAACTCTGCACAACCCCATCCTGTCCTGGGTAGTCCTGTCCTAAATGTAGGTCTTCCACTGATCAGACTTCTCTCCCACCCCAAATGCCAATGCGTTGCTTGGTGGTGTGTAGACTGTGCTCCTAGGAAGGAATCGAAGTGCATCTTGTCCATCATCTCAACAACACAACACTAAGTAGGGCACAGAATGGTTTCCCTTTGTAATTTGATGGTATTTCAAGTACCACCAGACTCGTTGCTTCCCCCGCACTGTAAGTAATTTCACCCAGGAAGCCCTCTGTAATTATCCCTATGTTGGGATTCTAGGAGGGAGGGGATGGCATTGAGAAATGATGGATAACCTCTAGCCTACTGGGTGTTCACAGCCATGGCAAGTGTAATCATCTTGATTAAAAGATTGTGCTTCTGCGAATTGATCCTATGTGCATTTCATCAGACGTGAGTCCCATCAGTCAAAGCGTTTTCACAAACAATCAGAAGAAGAAGAGGAGCTCTGCAGAATCTGGCCAATGGATCATCTAGTCAAATATGCTGTTCTCATGGAGAGCAGTTGCCTACAGTTTCTGGGTCTATTAAGGCTTCAATTGGGAATTAAAGAAACTCAGGAAGATGGGAGGTTAGAGCTAAATGAACTTTGGTGAACTGGGCGCAAAAGCAGGGATCTCAGAGTCTTGAACCTTCCCCTTGACCAACAAAGGTAGAATTATGTAAATATGATAACATAATATATACACATTGACTTGATTTGTATAATGCATACAGGTCACAGAAATTGGGATAATATAAACCTTGTTGACAGCAGCAGGATATGACCCTTTCCTTCTCCTTCCTTCAGCAGGGTTTCCAGGTTGATTAGGAACAGAGGAGGCTGCCGTATACTGAGTCAGACCCATTGTTCTAGCTAGCTCAGTATTGCTTGCACAGACTGGCAGCAGCTCTCCAGAGCTTCAGGCAGGATTTCAGCCCCACCTGAAGATGCTGGGGATCAAACCTTGGATCTTCTGCATGTCAGGCATTTGCTCTACCACTGAGTGACGGGCAGGGGTGGCCCATTCCATTTCAGTGCCTGAGGTGAAATGGGAAGATGCTGTCCCTCTGCTGTCATAGCCTCACTGGGGTTGTGTGGTGGTTTTTGGTTTCTAGCAAGATCTCACAGGGCTGTTGTAAGAAGCTGCCACCATTGCTGCTTCTTTGTGCTCCTCAGGCAGTGGTGGGGTGCCTACAGCATAGCCAATCAAACCTTTATTGCATTAGCATACAGCCATAGCAGGATAAGACAAAAATGCTAGAGACAAGCAACCAAACAAAATTCAAAGCGATATTACTGGCGTTATGACATTTAAATTACCCTAAGACAATAATGTAAAGATTTAGTTGCCAGCGCCGGGAATCTAAAATGCGGATGTATATAAAGCATATAATGGCCCAAAATAGGCTTGGCACATTAGGTTAAAAAGGTAATAAAAAGAATTAAAACAGGTCCAGGTCTAGGACACACTACCCAGTCAGAGTAGCCCTGAGTTTCAAAGCCTGCACTATAAAGATTGCCACCCCACGTGAAATTTGAGGATTTGCATCCACAAGAAGCGATTTCAAACAGTCTTCCTTAGATGTGATGGTGGACGGGATCAAGAGGAGGAGTTTAGTTCTTATTAGCTCATAAA